CAAGTAGGTAAGGCCTTTGGCCCGTTTTACAAAAGAACTTACGACTAAGACAAAAAACAAATTGCATAATCAAAAAAGATTAAAATAATTTTGATATAAAGTTGATCAAAAAGTTATATGTATATACATACTTAAAAAGTCTCATTTTTCTGAAAGAAAGGGCGTCCTTTTCGTGAAGGCGGACATTACGAGACGATATTTACAATCCGAAATATTAAAGGATATTTCTTAACGGCGGACACAATGTGCTCAGTGAAGAGTTTAACCGAGAAAAGACGGACTTTTCTTGGCGGCGGACATAATCTGACGATTTTTTTCGGAAGAAAGGCAGGTTTTTCTTGTCGGCGGACAATATTACGATTTGTTTTAAAAGGCATTTTGTTGCGGGGGACATAACATTACGATTTGTTTGGAAGAAAGGCGGACTTTTTGTGGCGGCGGACATAGTGTGACGATTTTTCCGAAAAAGAGGCGGACATTTCGTGACGGCGGACATAGTTTGACGATTTTTCCGAAGAAGAGGCGGACATTTCGTGACGGCGAACATAACGTGACGATTTTTCTGAAAAAGAGGCGGACATTTCGTGACGGCGGACATAACGTGACGGCGGACAAAACGTGACTCAACAACAGGTCATGATATTCCCCTAGATTAGAAATGCCAAATGTTTCCCAGACAACTTGAGCATGGTTGTAATCAGCTTCTGATATATCTTGATCGTTGATGGAACTGTAAAAAGCTGATCTGTCCGGTAGACAAGTTTCGTTGAATTTCTCCATACTGTCCATGTACTCATAGGGGTAAACACCCTTACGCATGAGTAACTTCAATTTTTCTTTGACTGATCCAGAATGCTTTTGCTCAATGTACTGACGGAGATGTTTAAATTTTTCTACACCTTCTTTAGAAAGATTAAACACGAGCTTTTCCAAGGAGGTTGACAAAAATTGAAAGGAATCGATAAAATCTAATTTTCCCATTGAAAACGATATGTATTTCTCATGGTTTTGGGGGATACAATTAAGTTGTTTGTGCTTCATTTTTCCAATGGCTTGCATAATCAAGTGTGAATCATATCCTTTCAGGTTATGAAAAAATACTGGAATTCGCTCTCTTTGTTTCAGATTGAGGTTACAAGAATTATGGGCGGCTCCCCGAAATTTACCTGTCACGTGGCAGTGATCACGTACGCGATCTTTCCCCAAATGTTGATGACAGGTGTAGCATTGTTCAGCTCTTTTAAATTCAAATTCTTCTTTCATTTCCATTCTAAGTGGTTTGTGATTTCTAAGTGCAGTAGTTAGTCTTTCTTCCACTTTAACCATGTGCTCAACAAACGTTTCAACGACGTTATCCCCACGATATGTCACGTGATTTTCAGTAAAAGCCTTATTCAGACCAACTATTTTATAAGTAAATCCTGATGGAGTGTGCTTGGCAAGTTTAGTTGTGCTGGATGTTCTTGTGTCAGGTTGACATGTTGCTAATTTTTCTGCAATGCACTCAAAATCGGCATAGACCACGAAACTGACTCGTTGTTGCTTTGATACATCTGTATATCTTAACCATTTATTTTCCTCACTTGGCATCTCAGTTTTCTGAGCCCCGTGTACTTTGCAATAAGATGTATGTTTTTCCAACAGGTTTTCTTTCGTAAAACCATGCAAGCAATAGCAGCAGAAGAAGTACTGGTTATGGTCACTGTTCTGATCTGCCAACAGTCTGTTGAAGTTTTTTATCCAACAATAATGGGAACAATTTCCACTGGATAAAATAAGAAGATTGATGTGACGTTGGAAGCGATTCTTTGTGAGATGGATAGGGTATACTTGTCCCTTTTCATAGCCAAAAATATTGATTGATATGTCATTTTGATGTTCAAACTTTTCCATATCCTTAATCTTCACAGGAAATTCAATACCACTGAAATTCAATTCATCCGCAAAAGAGATGTAATTGGTAAGGCGTTCAGCATGGTGAATAGTTGGGTGCAGTGCAGATAAAACTGCCCATTGAAAGCATTTTTGATCATTGTTTTGTACGTTGACTATAGCCTTTTTTGCTCTCAGTTTGATAGGCAGTGGAATGAAGCCTGATCCTCTAATCGGTCTGTATTTGGCAATGTTCAGTGTTAATTCCAATACCTTATCGAGTGTCCAATTGCTTCCCTCTCTTTGATATTCTAAAAAGGAACTCATAATTTTTTTGTTGCTATCTCGTAAGCTTTGTTCTAGATCTTCTCTTTTCAATGCAACATGACATCTCCCATGAAAATGTGGTTCCACTGTTTCAATCTGATCTTTCTTTTCTTTAGAGAAACGAACTTTCATGGTCAAATACCATTTGATGCTTTGTCGTTTTTGCAAAGCTATTTTTAACGTTTTCATGATAATATCATACTTGGATCGCAGGAATTGTAGAGGATCAAATTTAGTTTTGTCTTCTGCAGGAACTTTATATACTTTTAAATTCCCGTTGATGGCTTCCTCTTCTGTGATGCATTCGTTTGTTTCGTTGGTTGAAAGACCGCCTCCAATTTGATTTTTGTCTTGCAGATCAGTACCTGTAGCCTGATTGGTTATTTTTATTTCGTCAGCTTTGGTAGCAGGAAGTGTCCGTGAGTGTTGCCTTTTCATATGACGAATATAATTATCTTTCCTTTTAAATTGCATGCCACAGGTTGTGCATCGGTGTTCAGAAAATTTATGAGCTGTTCTGAGATGACGAAACATGCTTGATGTGTGAGAAAATTCTTTTCCACATTCATTACAGATGACAGACTTCATTTTCTTGAATACTAAATAAAAAACTGAAAGAGTTCAGTAATTTAAATATTATAATATCAACATCGATTCGTTTTAAATAAATAAGAACATCAGTGAGATCTGATTAAGAAACTCTCAGGTTTCAAGGCTATTGCACGGCCATCAACATCCCTGTCACCAGGGACGGAGCTCCGCTCACCGAAGTAAGCTCATTTGAACATAAGTCGGACATGTCTTCCCGATAATTACGGGGACGTGTTACGTTAAACACTCTCATGTCCGTTGTGAGCTAGTAACACCGCCCTATATCGGTACACTGTGTTCAAATGCAGCAAAACCTCAGATCCCAATATATTATAATGTTTCTACGAATTTAATTATTCTTCAAATGTATTAATTGCACGTTAACCGATTTTAAAATTAATATTGCAGTTGTTTAATTGTGTTATTGTAGTACTTAGAAATGTTTAATGTTCCACAATCTGTCGCTCCACTTCTAAACCACTGGATAACTCTAATGAAGTTCGTTCTACAATTTAAAAGAAAAATATAAATGAATTTAAAAAAAAAAAGAAAAATAATGATTTAAAAGTCGGTATCGTTTAATTTTCAAAGACTTAAAACTTGTGAAATAAAAAGCCCTAAATTCTTTTTTTATTATTTAAAACTTGTGAAATAAAAAGCCCTAAATTCTTTTTTTTATTTGAAGAGGAAGATAAGCGACTTACCTGACCGTCTGGTTCACCACAAAGTGACGAATTTGATTATCCTTGCGCTTTATATACCCGTCACACACTGACTGTAAAATTCTTTAATTTGATTGGATAATCAATAAAAGCTTTAACCCTAAACCTGATCTGATGCATCAGATTGAAATGACCGCTTTCGAATTTAGACGTCATTTCCCAGCGTCTCGCTTGGGTTCCCTCGGTTCATAATATTTATGTGTATTTAGGTCATCTTCGAGGCGAATGCCTTTATGTCTTTTCTCTCAATTAAACGCTTTTAATGCTTTTGTTAACTGTTCACTCTTGATTAAAAAAGGACATTTGTTACTTCTGGGGAATTTGCTCAATGGGTACCTTTTTCTGATATGTTAATTCATATCGATGAATTTTCGTTTTAGTTTTAAACTTTGTCAGTTTTTCTTCTCGAGTGAATGTAAAGCTACAGTTGTGGGTAACTGGAATGATAATAATCGCGAAATTCTTCCAAAACTTTATTTATTTATATGTACAAATTGTCATGTATATGCATGAAAATAAGAATGAAAATGAACGATATTGTTGTAAAATAAACAGATGATAAAACGTTCAAAATAATTCAATATGGCGTCGTATTATCGATTTTTAAACCGGTTAAATCCTGTTTATCGTGATCTCTTTGGACACGTTTGTTTACCTGTGTCTCGCTTGAATGCTTTTTTATCATAAAAGTCGCGTGTGCTTTCTTACACATTGTGGACAATTTTTTCCAATCATTGAAACTAATAATATAATGTGGTTTGGTTAATAAATCTTTAGAGAACACCTTACATAAATAATTGAATTTTAGTTCGATTTCATGTACATTTATTTCCACTTTGCATTGATTATGAACACGGTATTTCATGTTCCTGGACAATAATATGATTTAAAATAATTGATTATAATCATTAGGTAATCAATCAATGTCAATCATTATGATAATTGATTTCTGAATATATGATCAATAATTATAACATAATTGATAAATTAATTAATTACTAATTAATTATAATTTATTTATTAAGTAATAAATTAGCCATCTGTATGACGTCATAGGTAGCCTCACACCTTGGGAGGCTATCGGAGGCTACTCCATGTTAACTCTATGGGAGGCTACTGTCCCAGAACTCTGGTTTTTTCCCTACTATCAACTCAACTCGCGACTCTAGAGCAGACACTCTAACTACTGCATCACGCGGGCAATGTGTACAAATTGAAATACCGGTATATGTTTATCTGATGTTCTTATTCGAACAATCTCAAACGAACAAGAATGTTTAACAGCGTTATTCAAAATCATAACAACACTGATTATGGGTAAATGCTCCAAGACTTGTGCAGCTTATTAAAATTTATTACATACTTAGTAATAAATACAGGATTTTTGCATATGCAATATGCCTGACGTCACCACTTGTTCTATATAAACATGCCATATTTATCAACCTGCAATAAACATATATTTTATCTCTAAATGTATATTTACAGTTTTAGAGTCCAGCCCACTTATTCTACAATGTACGTCCATTCTCGCATATTTTGAAGAATCTGAACAGAGGAGGGAATTATACAGATCTGAAATAGATTCTTCTGAACCTAACTCTACGACGGTAGATACAATGTGGCTAAACCAAAAGGATTACAACTATATCAACGTTACATTTGCCGCTGTCTTCACATCAGCAGACAACCTAAACATTTCAAGAAATGAAAAACAGTTTAAAAAGGGAATCATATCTGGAGGCGTTAATATTATTCATCACAAAATGAGCAGACCAGGTGAAGGTATGTTGACCTCCTTTATATTTAATATATATACTGTAAAAGCAGGAATATTTGTTGGGGTTTTTATTTTGTTTATATCGTTGTTTACAATTAGGAACGAAATTACAATTCCCACACGAATTTTTTATGATTATAAATTGAACAGTGTTACTTTTAAACCAACGAAAATCAATGCCCACGAAACCTTTATAGATTACAAATCAACAGAATTTTATTCTCAGGAAAATTTGTGCTTCTACAATTTGTAGATTAAGTACCAAGTTCAATATTATTATGAATTTTTGAAAATACTAGAAATTGTATACACTTATCTTTATAACTAGAAAAGACGCCCTTTGTGAGTGGAAATGAAACCCACCTCTGTGAGAGTCAGCCCAGTTCTCTCTATCCCAGCGTGGATTTATTTCAATGTAACTACACGGATGACAAGTTTGACATGCAGCTGGAACACGGAGACAAGTAAATTCTCTTCAAAATTGTGTGGTAGAGGGGTTTGAGGGAGGATGTCTATTCATTTTTAACTATAAAGTCTCAAATAAATGACATCTAAATATAAAAGAAGAACTAGGACTCCTGATTTTGGAGAATGTAATGAAGGTTTTGACTTTTTTTATGTACAGTTTAACTCTGACAGCTTTTACTAAAATCTGGAGTATTTTTGAAAAAGACTTATTTATCGACGAGATGTCTACAAAATCTACAATGTTTCGCTTCGATTTGGTAAAGCCACATCACTGTCTCCTAGACGGACCATGTGAGGCGAAAGCACTGGATGTTGTGGAAGATGTCACTAAGGTATTTTAAACGTGTTCTCCCATTTATTTCAATTGAACCTTGTTAAGATATACTTCTCTAAAATAGTTTTATTTTTGATATAGAACCATTTCAAGCTTAGTTTGGACTTTCAGTAAGGCGTGGCATTCCCGGCGCTACATGTTTACCGCCTGTCAAATGGTAAATAGATTCTCATTGGTTAAGTAATTAATAACATCATGAACTTTAAACTGTTGTTGACACCGATGATATGACCTAAGCTCCACCTCTTTGCAGGACGAAACAATGTAATTGGGTATTCCATACACTAATTGGCATTTGCCCGAATTTCTATCCCATGTATATTTCAACACTGAAGGAAAGCTGTGTAAATTTCAGAAGCCAATTATTAAACGTCGAGAATGCCACGCCTTACTGAAAGTCCAAACTAAGCTAGAAATGGTTCTAAAGGTTAGTGGACAGAGGCGTTATAGCATCATGTTCGTTTTCAGTCTGGTTGTGTATGGATTATGTTCAACTGGAAGCATCCACTTTTAAGAAAGGCAAACGCTAAATAGTCATAAAGATTCTGGATTCAATATAAGCATGATAAACTTGAATAATAAATTATATGTTTGACCTTATTTTTTTTTTATAAAGTCTCCAATAGAATTGGAATGGAACAAGTGGGTGGATAAGCTTTCTGGAATCCAAGATTACAAAGTACAAGTTTATTTGCTGCAGCTGAACACAACAAACTTGGCGGAACCAAATCCGCGGCACCCAGACGAGGAAATATCCCTTTCGGCACTAGAAACAAGATATACTTACACTCCTAGGAGATCGGGGATGTATTCCTTTATACTCAATGTAATAGACAGAGCCAACAATGTACAATACGCACGTACCTTGGTGTTATATGACCCTACTTCAAATATCACTCTCTCTAAATTGCCATTTATGGCAAGAAGCGCAGAAGCTGAAACTAACTTTCAATGGCAAAATAACCTCGACAAGGATATTATCATGTCATGGAAAGGACATTTTCAGAACAAATTCCATGAAGATAATAAACTTTTAAATCCAGTAGCACAGTACAAAAACTTCAATAATGATGCAAACATTGAAAAACAAGTTCCAAACCAACTTGATGATAACTCGGGGAAAAGGACACTGAAAGAAATCCGGAATGTTCATGGTATAGTTAAATTTGAATATTTCTACAGACACGGAAATCAAGGGGAGAGAACCCCACAATTCTGGTATAAGGTGAATGATACATTTTCAGAAACTCAGGCTTTTAATATTGAGAGAAAAGATGGCGATACCATTAACTTTTGGGTCAAGGCGACTGACATCATGGGGAATACGAAAGTTGACTTGACGAAGATTTCCTTTGATTCCAGTCCGCCAGAAAGTTTAAACCCTTCAGGCGTCATATTTACGAGGAACGTTAAAAATGCCACTTACCCTTTCTAAAGTCGGTAAGAAAATTAAAGAATTTTCAATTTTTTTTTAAGAAAATGAAAAACATGAAAATCAAAGAATTAATTTCTCTCTCTTTCTCTCTCTCTCTTTCTCTCTCTCTCTCTCTCACATACACACACATACACACACACACACACACACACCCTCTCACACACATACACACACACCCTCACTCACACACCTACTCTCTCACACACCCTCACAAATACACACATAAATGATATCATGAGCAATTAGAAATATATATATAGTCAAATGATTTTTTCAGGCTACAGGTAGATGTCTTTGACAGAGAAAGTGGAATACATGGAATTCACGTGGAGCTAAGATCTTCTGGAAGAAATTATAAACTATTCCAGGAAATTAATATTCCAGGAAACAAAACAGAAGTAAAAAAAATTTTCCTGACAAGTTTTATTTCTTGTATAATTATTTAAAGCTTTTTTGTTTAGTTTGTATAAAGAAAAAAACACTGTCGTGTTTCATCATCCTAGAAATCAGAGATGAAATCCAATCAAACAAAAATTGTTTAATTTTTTCCTATTACATTAAAAGAAATTTCCTTTTTTACAATAGGAAAAAATTAAACACAAGACTGGAATAATAAACAATATTTTCCTTTCACTGTAGGCGGATCCAGGATTGAAAGCAGGATACACAACCTCTGTAGGAAGCTACTTTTATTACCGCCACACCCTGGACATAAATAACTGCTGGTTTGTTGGGTCAAAGGAAAAAATGGCAGAGGAGTCTGTCTTACTGAATCTGGCTGTATATAACATGGCTATGAAACCTGCGTTTTACAGTTCAATAGTAAGTAGTTCTGTCCCCTTGGATGCTAGAAATTCAAATAATTAATTTTCCTTACTCACATTTTATTTGCTTTTTTCTGTCAATATCTTTGCTGCAGTGCTGTTTTGTTATGCTGTTTTGTTCACTATTTGCAGCTGACAGATTTGTCCTCGCTGGACGGAATGGATGAATGTATGTATCTTCATTGTGTGGAGATTACACATTTATTCAAGGATTACGTTTACTCAGGTTTCAGAAGAGAAAAAGGAAATTTTATTAAGTCAAAAATTAATCTAAATGGATAATATAACCAACAATTTAAAAATTGATATTTTGTTATTTGAAGAAAATATGTAAGAACAAATCAATATATGGTATGCAGAGGAAATTCGGACTAAATTTATAAAAAAAAAATTCATTTTTGTCACAAAATTTTATTTCTTTCAATATCTATTACAAAGTAGTTAAAAATTACATGTATTTTTAAACAACATTTTGCGCAAATTTTATATGCTTGAAAGCTCATGAATTATTTCAAATAATTGAATGCCATTAAATTAAGAAATTCAAAAAATATGAACAAAAAACATTCCAGACAACATATCTCAATCATTTGATCACTGACCTCATATAATATAAATACCAATAGAATAAGAACAAAAAAAGTAAATTGGGATTATAAATAATTTAAAGTTCTTATCAATCAGATTTTTGTTGTAATTCATCAAAAATAGGAGGGGGGGGGGGGGGGGGGGGGGCAAATAGAAATCTGACAAAGGAAATTCGGAGGGTAATAATAAGTTTATGGCTCAAATTCTAATTGTTCATTTATATGTTTATGAAGCCAAGTCGTTCCATTTCTTATTGTATTTCATTATTTAAAGATTATTGTTGCTTGTGATATTTTGTGAGTAAAGAAAAACTCGGTCATAGTGTGAAAAAATGAGGCATTTTACGAGAAATTCTCAAGGGCCACTAGCACGAAAAGTAGGTCATTGACCTAGTTATTTCAAAGTGAAATTTAACACAGGAATCATAGGTGTACAATATGCAATAGGTGTTTTTTTTTTCGTTTTTATCAGTGGATTTTTTGTCATCTGAGTAAACGTCATCCTTAAATAATCTGTGTTCAGATCTCAGAATGTTGCATAGTTGAATTATGCCCATGATTGCATTACAGGTTCAATATTTGAGTGATTTGTCGTTTTAGACCCTGACCCAATTAATTTAACCATAACTGAAACCTTTGACAATGGTGTTCGTCTGAACTGGACCATGCCCTCAACTTGTTACGAGATGTCAACGGTTGTAGTAGAGTTCCGTTCATCCAATGACCGAGTTCATGTCCTACATGTAGAGCCATACAACGACTGGCTTGATTTGACAGATTTGGACCCCGAAACAAGTTACAACATGTCTTTTGTTACAGAATATGGAACACAAAGAAGCGATCCAGTATTTCTACAATTTCGAACTTCTGCTTCCAAAAATGGAGTGGTGGCTTATGCTCAAGCTAAGGAGCTTCTGCAACTTTCATATTTATTAATCATTGTATTTTACTTACATAATTGTTTTTGATATTGTTTTAAAACAACTGTACGAAATTAAAAAGTGTATCCTCTAGACGTCAAATATATAAAGCGATACAATTTTTAGTGTCAGTTAACTAGATGATATACATGTAAGATATATAGGGATAACGAAACTATAAATGCATTTTCCCATGGCTAAAGCAATTTAATTTTAAGCCTATTATTTTAATTTTTGTTGTGAGCTTCATAAATACAAACTCATTTTTATGCGCCCGGATCGATAGATCCCGGGCGTATATTGTTTTTGTCCTGTCTGTTTGGCTGTTTGTCTGTTTATCTGTTTGTCTGTTTGTCTGTTTGTCTGTTGTCAACTTTAACCTTGGCCATAACTTTTGAACAATAAGAGATAGAGACTTCATATTTGGTATGCATACTCCACTAATAAAGTCCTTTCAAATGACATCAAGGTCAATGACCTTGTGACCTTGACTGTGACCTATATGCTAAAAATAGCTTTTTCCACTGTTTGACATAACTTTTTAACCATAGGAGATAGGGACTTCATATTTGGTATGCATACTCCTCTAATAAAGCCCTTTCAGTTGACAACAAGGTCAATGATCTTGAGACCTTGACTGTGACCTATATGCTAAAAATAGCTTTTTACACTTTTTGCCATAACTTTAGAACCATAGAAGATAGGAACTTCATATTTAATATGCATACTCCTCTAATAAAGCCCTTTCAGTTGACAACAAGGTCAATGACCTTGTGACCTTGACTGTGACCTATATGCTAAAAATAGCTTTTTACACTTTTTGCCATAACCTTTGAACCATAGGAGATAGGAACCTCATATTACGGATGCATACTCCACTGATTAAGTTCTTTCAAATGACACCATGGTCAATGACCTTGTGACCTTGACTGTGACCTATATGCTAAAAATAGCTTTTTACACTTTTTGCCATAACCTTTGAACCATAGGAGATAGGAACCTCATATTACGGATGCATACTCCACTGATTAAGTTCTTTCAAATGACACCATGGTCAATGACATTGTGACCTTGACTGTGACCTATATGCTAAAAATAGCTTTTTACACTTTTTGCCATAACTTTTGAACCATGGGAGATAGGAACTTCATATTTGGGATGCATACTCCACTGATAAAGTTCTTTCAAATGATACCATGGTCAATGACCTTGTGACCTTGACCGTGACCTATATGCTAAAAATAGCTTTTTACACTTTTTGCCATAACTTTTCAACCATAGGAGATAGGAACTTCATATTTAGGATGCATACTCCACTGATTAAATTCTTTCAAATGACACCATGATCAATGACCTTGACTGTGACCTATATGCTAAAAATAGCTTTTTACACTTTTTGCCATAACTTTTAAACCATAGGAGATAGGGACTTCATATTTGGGATGCATACTCCACTGGTTAAGTTCTTGCAGTGACCTTGTGACCTTGACTGTGACCAATATGCTAAAAATAGATTTTTTGAACTTTGTTTCCGCCGGGCGCATAGTGTTTCACAAACACATCTTGTTATATCATTTGATAAAAATCTTTTAGTGATTAATTTTGTTTATGATAAGTTGCAAATTGTATATACACTTTGATTTAAACGCAGTGCATATTTGATACATGTATATGTATGTTTAATACATTTGAAAAGTAACACATGATGTGTCCAATTGATCTAAAATATTTGTAATCGATATACCCTGCTTAAAATTAAAGGAACCTTGAGTGTTTAAGGATATTTTTTTATTTCCTGCGTCCTTCGCTTTGATTACAGATCTGGTAAGATGTTAGTCGATCTTTCTGGTTTAATTTTTATCGAGTATCAAACACTACCGTATACCCACTGGTAATCTCATCTTAAATAAACGGGACTATTTGTGTTCTAAGATGGAAACCAAGGGCTTCCTCAGAAAGGAAATGTCGGGACTACTAAAATTGTAAGATTGGATGTGATAACACAGTACTTAGCTAAATACCAACCTCACTTGACAAAGTTTTATACCGCTCAGAGTAGGCTTTTCGAAAATTCTACGAAGCTATTATAACCTTGTTTGTAAGTACATCCTATCTCTGAATCATATTTGTCTGACAGGTTTCATACCATTTTTTTGTCTGTTCATACCTTTATATCAAATTTTACTACTGAATACTCCGCCAGCGTGATCAATACATATGGCTCAAGGCCGGTGTGTCCGGTCGACAAGGGATATTTACTCCTCTTTGACACCTTATCCCACCCCTGA